GGCGGAGGAGCTGTGTGTTTCTGTTGCTTTAGGCACCGCCCCCAGCAACTCCCATTGTCCAGGAACGGGGATCCGCGGCCAATGGGAGTTGCTGGAGGCGGTGCCTCAAGCAACAGAAACACACAGCCCCTCCGCCCCCCCTTCCCCACGTTCCAGCCTCTTGCGGGGGCAGACCAGACAGGCAGGGAGCCTGCCCTGCCCCCGGTATGCGCCGGGTCAGATCCTGCCCCCGCGAACCCCTCCTGCAGCTGAACCCCCTGCCATACCCTGCACCCCGACCCCCTGCCTCACCCCTCACCCTTCCTGCATCCCAACCCACTGCCCTGAGCCCCATGCCACACCCCTCCTGTACCCCGACCCCCTGCTGTACCCTGCACCCTGAGCCCCCTGCCGCACCCTGCACCCCGACCCCCTGCCCTGAACCCCCTGCCGCACCCCGCACTCCTCTTGCACCCCAACCCACTGCCCTGAGCCCCCTGCCGCACCCCACACTCCTCTTGCACCCCAACCCACTGCCCTGATCCCCCTGCTGCACCCCACACTCCTCTTGCACCCCGACCCCCTGCCCTGAATCCCCCGCCGCACCCTGCACCCTGATCCCTTGCTGTACCCCTCACCCCTCCTGCACACCACACCCCAACTCCCTGCCCTGAGCCCCCACCACACCCCACACCCCTCCTGGACCCCCTGGGGGCAGAGTTGGGGTGGGGATTTCGGGGAAGGGGTTGGAATGGGGGCAGGGAAGGTGTGGGAAGAGGCAGGGCCTCATGGAAGGGGTGGAGTGGGGGCGGGGCCGAGGGGGGATGTCAGTAATGCGGCCCTCGGGCCAATGTACTAGTCCTCATGTGGCCCTCATGGTCATTTGAGTTTGAGACCCCTGCACTTGAGCAACCCTGCCTTTTGAAAGTTTTCTTAGTATGTCTTAATTTTTCCATGGATAGGAACATGCTCAGATTGCTAGTTAGAACTGATTCTTCAAGGCTTGCTGCATTAATGTTCAGATATCTTATGCTTCCTAATTTCATCTGCTCTCTACTATATTCCTGTCTTCCTTGCTGGGTCTCCTGATTTTTCATCCAGCTGCTCTGCTCCCATAAGCATGCAGCTCCTCCACCTTGGGTGAATTTCTCATGTAACTAAGAGCTTGTTCACATGGGGAAATTTACAGGCATAAGTGCACCAGTATAACTCCCCATTATAATGGTATAGTATCCCTATAAGATCCATCCTATGAAAATAATGTTAGATAACCTTCTACAATAAACAATTTAGCATTTTTTTAATTACATATATCAAAATTATACAGCATATGAACCATGGAAAAATGGACGGTAATTCAGAAATATTGACTGTGCCAGTTAGGAGGACAAGACTAAAATGGAGTAGCAAAATCCTAAACACCATCCTAACCCTACTGATTAAGCAGAAAAGTATCCCTGCTCACCACTTCCTGTCACAGTCTGAATATCAAAGAACTCATTATAGGGCACAAATGCAGTAAAAAGACCAAGGCTGGGGTCCTACATCAAAAAAGCCTTACTAGAACTCATTACACACTGACTTCATACAAGAGCTGCACAGAGGAAGACAAAAGCACCCCTGAGGTCCTAGAACACAATGACGACATGGGGGAAGCTTCCTGGGGAGCCCTGCGACACACCAACGGCGGGAGGGAGGAGCCCTGCACCTGGGGCCCAGTTACACACCAACGGCAGGGGGCCCTGCATGTTGGCCCAGTGACACACTGACAGCAGGGGTGGGGAGGGGGGCCTGCACGTGGGCCCAGTGACACACCAATGGCGGGGGGGTGGGGAGAAGAGGACAGCCCTGCACCTGGGGGCCCGGTGTTACCTGTCAGCTCTGTGTTCTTGAGGAACCTGGGCGCAGTATCCAACCTGTCTGACTCACGAAGGACACCTCCCCCAGCCTCTACTTGAACCAAAGCCGATCAGAAGAAAGGCTTACAAAAAGCAATGAAAAGGCAGTGGGAGACACACCTAACACCCCCCACCCGCAACAAGAGTTACAGGATTAAGGAAACTCCCCCAGACTCATTTGCATCAAAGATGGGACAGGGAGGCATCTCATTAGCAGACAGAATGGAGAACAGAGATTCCAAGGCAAGAACTGCACTGAACTCTGGAACCAGAAAAGCAGGGAAGCACTGCATGATGGGGAATCTCTGCTCCAGATGTTAATGAACTCACGCCTGCACATACCCAGTTCAGTAGTTATCAGACCAATTATAGTAATAAATCCTTTATTGGTATCCAAAATACTGAAGCTGCCTAATTGCATTATGAGCTCCCTCAAAGGAACACCGCCCATAGCCAAGAATGAGCAGCTCATATTGTCTAGTCAAAACAAAACAACTTTGGAATACTTGAGTCACCAGTTACCCTACAAAAATCCCTACTCATGCTCAGTTCTGATACCTGTATCCAACATCTGCATCAGTTCCACTGGGACTTCATCTTCTCCTGACTGATCATGCAGGGGACTCTGCCTGTCTCCAGCACTCTGGACCCTCAGTTACCACCACCACCTGGGACCCCCGATCGATTCAAGCTTCATGGAGTGGTGAGAACCCAGCTCTCGCGCTCTCTCTCCCTGACTTGTGTGACCAGTTTAATTTTCCAAACCTGACTTTTATAATCAAATTTAAGTTAGATTTAATATTATAACTGTTTTGTTTGTTTGGCTCCCCTATGGTTATTACCTGGCAATAAATAACTTTCATGGTTAAGTTGGCTGCTTCTCTCTCTCTCCCCCTCTCACCTCTGCCCTGCTCATGGGTGTTTTTTGGTTTCCTCATTTGCTCTGCAGCAACGCTCCTCGTACCTAAGCTAAAAGATCCCTGCAGCGCCCCAAAATCCTGTGGTGTTTGCTCATCAAGTGGGCTACTACCAGAACAACTGTAATGTGAAAGTGGGGATAGGGACGTGCTGAAGCTGGGACATATGTGGGTGGCAGCTTGGAAGTGCTGCTTGACCTAGTCTGCTGAATCCAGGGGCATAGGAGGGTGACAGCTTGGGAACCCAGCCCTCTCAGATGCACTCTGTTAATGTGTGCGCATCTGATTCTGGAAGAATCCAACCCTGGGGAACCTAGGTCCTGCAGGATAGCTCCATTGGGAGGGAACTTGCAGAAGGGAGAAGTAGAGCGCTGTATGAGAACACACGTGACACAATTCTACATTGATAGAATTACAGAACACTCCCCCACCCCAAGAGTAACCCTAACAAATGAGCATACCCCAAAGTAATGGGCAAATCTCATAACACAGGTGAAACACCCACAGTGTGGGGGTGGGGGGGCCTGCACCCAGGGGCCAGTGACACACCCACAATGGGGGGGGGGGTGGAGCCCTGCACCTGGAACTCGGCAACACACCCACAGCCGGGGTGGGGTGGGGTGGGGAGAGAGGCGGAGGAGAAGCCCTGCACCTGGGAGGCCCAGTGATACACATACGTCCGGAAGGGGGGAACCCTGTGACACACCCACGGTGTGTGGGAGGGAAGGGGCTCTGCACCTGTAAACCCTGTTCAGCTGCAGGCTGGCACCTGACATGTATCTATCCACTGTCACTCTCCCCTGTAGTCCCCCAGACTCCACCTCCCCGCTAGAACACGGTGCACGCGCCTGCGCTCATTTCCGCGGCTCTTTTCACTCGTGTTGCACTAAATCGTGTTCAGCCCGCACCAGTGAAACCCGCCCTGCCCCTGCGAACATGCCAAGGCCGCCCCACGCACAGCAGGGGGCGCTGCCTCGGGGACTCCGTGCGGCTCACGCACAGGGTACGGCCAAAGACTAGGCCCCGCCCCTCGCTCCGCACCACGTGACAACCACTCGCCACTAGCGCCTGCGCCCCTTCTCACGTGACACGGCGCGGCTTCCTCTGCCCCCGCCCCTGCCGTTTAGATCCCTCCTCTTTGTCCCGCCCCCTCTTTGCGTTCTCACCTGCTGCGCGCCGGTGCGGCTGCTCGGCCGCTTCTCTGGCTCCGGGGGCGAGACGCCCGTGGCCGGCGAGTCCCCGGTTCCATGGCTGCTGCCCCGCCTGGCCGCACCCAGCAGCTGCCATGCCCGGCTCCGCGAGGCGGCGCGGCCCCAGCTCGGCGTCGCCATGTTGCATCCGTCGGAGGGCGGGGCGTGACCTCTGACCCTTCCTGCGCCCGGTCTCGCACGGGCAGAGGACTCGCGGGCAACCATAGAGTAGCGCGGAGGTATCCTAGAGCGCCGCCTCGCGCGTGAACTTCGCCGCCATCTTGGTTGGCTTGGGGAGCCGGCGGTCACCTAATGGCGGGGGGCTTCTGGGTAGAGAGAAAAGGCGCTGGAGGGGCAACAGCACCTGCTGCCTGGGGCCCACCTCTGCTGGTGGGGTTTCCCCACCGTCACGTGTCCCGCCCCCCTCGCTGGGTGCCCTGTGCGTGCGGAAACGGCCGGTTAGCGTCAGCCTCTGCTGCTGGCTCGCGCGCGCTGTGGGGGCTTGACTGCCGGGAGCGGCGGGGGCGGGGAACGGAGTGAGAGACTCGCTCCCCTCGCGGGGCGAACGCCCAGGGCCAGGCAGCCCGGCTGGCACTTTCACGCCCAGGGCGTGTCCCGTTACTGTCCCCGACCCAGGCATCAACTCCCCTGGAAGTGCAGGTCTCCCCCGCGACTGAGGGACAGGCTGAATCTGCCACCAGGCCGTGGCAGGCTGGGAACCGGCTGGCACCGTGTGATAATTGAACCATTGTAGTGACCACCGCTAAACTAGTGGGTCTGAAACTTTATTAGTGACCCCTTTCACCTTGCAAGCTTCAGAGTGCGACCCCCCCCCCCAGCAAATTAAACGCTTTTTAATATAACACCATTATAAATGCTGGAGGCAAGCAGGGTTTGGGGTGGAGGTTGACAGCTCTCAACCCCTGAGGGGTCCTAGCCCCCAGTTTGAGAACCCCTGGGCTGAAGAGGCAGCTCAAGCAATTGGGTTAGTGGAAGAGACCATCTGTACAGCAGCTGGGAAGGAATGTCCTGTGCTGGATTGATAGACTTACTTGGGCTAGTCCTGTAACAATAGATGCTGCTTTGAAGATGTGGGGCAAAGTGGGACTTGGGTTCTCAAGCTGAGGTGGGCTCAGAGCCCAAGTCACAATTTCAGATTGCTGTCGGTGCAGATATTTTACAGAGCACCAGTCTGCCTCTGTTAGCTGGACCTGGGAGACTTGTTCCTGCGTCCTCCAAAACTGTGTAGATAGTCTTAAGTGACTAGCTGCCACAGTACCACAGTTTGGAGGCTTTGTTAGTGAAGGACACAGTTGAGGTGGTCAAGGGCTAGGCGGTAGTGACAAAGTTTCCTGTTTAATATTTTGACACATTAGCTGTGAAATCCTAGCCTGCTAACCGTCAGGGAGACTTGGCCTGCACAAAGAAGGAAGAGCTCCCACTACTCCAAAGTGAAGTTAGACACAAAATGCAAGTCGAAGGCTTAGTCTAGCAGCAGAAGGTCCGTTTAAGAGAAGCCAAGACATCTATGAGAAACAGGAAAAGGACTTTAACCAAAGAAAAAAAAAATCTGGAGGTGAAGGAGTTATGACCACCACAATTACAAACTCACCAGTTAACCACACACCCCATTTGGCATCAGAAGTGTACAATCAGGCAGTAGTGGAAACCAAAAAAAGCAATATAGTACAGTAGTTTACATTTAACAGTACTAAGAAAAAAGGAAAGCAGCATTTTTCTGCTGCATTGTAAAGTTTCAGAGCTGAATTAAGTCAATGTTCAGTTGTAAACTTTTGGAAGAACCACCATAACGTTTTGGTCAGAGTTAAACACTTCAGACTTAACCTTTATTCCCCAGCTGTTCATAAATCTGAGGTTCTGTTGTAATGGCAGTGAGAAAGGAATCAGAGGAGCACTTTCAGTAAGGAGACTCGACAAATAAGGAAGCTTAGGCCAGGAAACATGGGTGCATTCACAGATAATCAGTACCTAGAAAATGAATCTGGTACGTAAACTATATTTGTAAAATAGCTGTTTTACAAACTCCATCTTTTCAAACAAACTAATATAGTGTCTAGGACTAAATGTCGACAAGATCAGTTTGAGAACAGCTACATATCTGTTAATGGCTGGTTTCTGTAAAGTAAAGAAAATATAGTTATAACTAAGAGATAGATGGCATTATGATAGTAAAGATATCTAAATCCATGACAAAGTGAAAGCAGCAGTTTGGTATAAAGGTCACTGGACTGGAATAGTAAGCATATTTTATTTGATAACACATTTAAAGACTGGAAAGTGAAAGGAGACATAGGAAACAGGTAAATTTAGGAATAAAGTTAAAGCAGGTAGTGAAAGTTTAAGAACTGAGTAATGAGTAGCAGTACAGGTAGGATATGTATAGAGATATCAAGTTAGGGGATTGTCTGCTAGATTGAGTAGCTCATTACAAACCATTGCATCCATCTTTAGCACAGAGGTCCAGCTTTGCAGATAGGTCCCATTTCTGACAGAAGCTGTGCTGGATATCAAAGGAGCATAAAAACATCCCACTCAAAAGCAGGGAGTAAGTGTGAACTGGCTTAGGATGCGGACTAGATCACAGGTTGTGGTTCTAGAAATTTGATGCCCAGGGTTGCTTTTCAGACATTTCAAGTCAAGGCTTTTGAAGCAGAAGTCTCAATTGACAGGATTCGGGTACTGAAGACATCTTAGATGGAGCCACTAATTGCATTTTACACTAGTGGGAAAACATTCTCTAGATGTGTCAACTGAAACTGCTCCTCTGATTTCTTGCCAATGTTTTAAGTGGAATTTTACTGCCTAAGGATTCCAAGGTGTACCTGTTCAGTTTATCCCACACTGTTAGCTCAGTTCACATTTGGCCAGGATTCAGGTGTTTCATCACATCACTGAAGAGAGAGTTAGGCCAAGGCAAGACACTTCTGCTGTACCTGGAGATGAAACCAGGGTCTCTAGCTAAAGAGATGTAATGAGGAAAACTCAAGCCCTTTGGATTTTCCCCAGAGCATACAAAAATGGCGATGTGATGGCAGCCTATGGTCATCCTTCTTAAGGCAGCTGCTGGATCCCACAGACAGGAGTGAGCAAAAACAGGCTAGAAAACCCATTAAGTATGAAACACTGAGGCAGTATACTGGGAATGTTTGTGCCAAGCAGGCTCTTGGAGCTAGGCTCGGGCCCTGCCTCTGAAGCGGAATGGGAGATGCTTCAGTGCGTCAACAGGGAGAATCAAATAGCTGACTTGATTAGATGGCAGGGAATGTTTGCTTGACACTGCCAAACCAGGCACAGATAGGAATGCTCCTTCAGTCTAGGAATCCTACTTATTCAGAGTAGCATTTTTTTTAAACTGCTTTAGAAGACAAAACCTAAACAAAAAACAGCTGATATTCATGCCAAAAAGTTAAGTAGTTTAGTGTTCTACTGTACTGGTATTAGTTTCAATCTAGTGCACGTATAATGTTTCCTTACTATCACTTAATCATACCATATATTGCAGCACTAAAGCAGGGTGGTTTAAACATATTAGATGGGAAAGTACCCTGGTGTTACTGGAATTTTGATCCTTTATGGTTGTCATTTATTTTACTTGCTGATTTACAGCCTCTGCTGAACTTTAAGTCTCAGGCCAGGAACTGTTCATGAATTACATTTGTGCTACAAGAGGCATAGTAAATTCCTGAATCAGTTTCCAGGATAGAACCAACTCAGCCCATTTGTCCAAGAAATAAGTGAAAAGTGGTCACAAGGCCATGAGTATGATGACAGGAGGATTCCAACATCTTCCCAATTACTTGGGGAGCAGAGGATAGTAAGGGAATATTTCACATGTGAATTCAGTCCTTTCAAATTGATTTAAAAAAGCATAGGTCTATAGGTAGCTATGACTTTTCCAAAGAGTGGAATGTCTGCATTTACAGCTGTGCTATAATGGCAATACAGTGCTCATGTATAGGATTTTATTAAGCTGCTTACATGTAACTGGGCATATTCACTATAGGTGAAGTGCTATCAAAGCGCTCATCAGAAATGCAGTACAATGGTGTCTAAAGAAAATTGTATAGTGGTTTTGGAATTTGACTTGCATAAGACAAATTTTTGCAGTTAGTTTTTTTAATTGCTTCCAGTTCATTCCAAGCTCAGTGATGAGACATTTGGCATAAGTTACAATTTGATAACGACCAACATGTGCCAGACATGTACATAATACAAGCAACGTCCAAAGTACATAAAGTAGATATAGTCAACATGTAAAGCAACATAGCCCTCTTACAAGGTCTGCTGTAGGCTTTGAAATGGGTAAAGTTTCAAGAGTGGATCTCAATGGTTAAGCAGGAGTGGAGTCTCCAGGGTGCAAACAGTATTGCTAATTTTCAAGCCTCTAACAAAAAAGACTTAGGACAAGAGTCTTGAGAACATGAAATAGTTCGAACATCTCAAAGGCCCTCTGCCTCCTAAAGCAATGGCTCTTGCCTGCAGATGCTGTGCAAGTTTACTACAGCATGGTGAAAGGTTTTAAAAAACATTAATTCCCATAACTGACTTGGAATTAATCAGTAATGACTTGTTAGAAATATTTTTTGCAGCAGCTGTAGGAATGTGTTCACATTTCATCTCCACTCCATGTTTTTAGTGTAAGATTCAATATTAATACCAGAATAGAAGTAGTTTTAGAATCACCACCATTGGAGACCATTATTCCAGTGACTGCCATTTTACCACAGCAGAATAATTCAGGCATTAAAGCATCAAGTGAAGAACTCACAATATAGTGTACTGGGGTAAACAAACTGGCTCAGATACTAGACCAGCAGCATTAGGCATCTCACTTTCATTTGGAGCACTCTGAGAAACCCACTCTTAGGGCATTAAATCTAGTCACAGGACCCACAGAGAAGTCAGCAAGTCTGAATGCTAGTTAGGATTATGTCCTTTGCCCCACATGCACCAAATGCAGTTTAGGACTCAACAGGTTTTGACTACAGTAGATTAATATACACTTGTGGAAACCTGCTATAATGATGTTATTCATAATGTTGAAGCAGAAATCCTTTTTCTGCAGCTTGGAGTAATCTTCCAAGTGTGATTTCCAGTTTAGGGAACTGTTGCACTGAAACCACCAAAGGAGTGAAGTAAACCTTCAGTTTGGCAGTAAAAGTAGAATGCCAATTCTTATAAGTGAAGAGAATTGCTAATAATCACAGCCTCCAAAAGGAAGTTATGAATCCACATACTATATGTACAGTATTAGTAGGTTTGTCTAAAGTTTTTCAAAGCAACATTTTAGAGATTGCCTTTAAAATCAGGGATATATCCTTTAAGTACTTGAAAAGCATAAAAATGTCCCTTCCCCCCAAAAGCCAGGCTGATACAATCTACTTTAGTTCCAAAAATATTTTAAACCCACAAACAAGCTATTTTATCAAATTGATATAAAGCTAAGTGCTAAGTAAAAGCACATCTGGTGGAAATGGACAGTGAAGAACATTACAAATGTGCTTAGTTTTTGCTTGCAGCATCTGGCAGTGGGTAGCAGGACAAAGGCAGGAATCTCACTGGGTCTCCTCCTGTATCTGTTCTGTAATAGTTTCTGTGGCACTAGCATTGGCAGCTGAGTTTAAGACTTCTCCAAAGTCACCTCCAGCAGGCTTGGCTCCTCCAACTTTAGACTAAAATACAAATAGTTTTAGATAAACCCTTCAGAAAGTATAACTGCAAATACAGTTAGATAGCCAAGTATTTTAACAAACAAGTTTTGCAATAAACAATACCTTCATGTCAAGATTGTTTGGGGGAATTTATCCTTTGGAGGCAGTTTTTCCAGGATCAGACTGCCTCTACAATAATTGAGGTAGGAGCAGCACTCAGTGCGACTTGGTGGAAGAAGCTAGGTGGAGAAACACTGAAGGAAATGTGCAACCCTCCAATCATTAGCTTAAACACATGGGTCTCCCTTGGCCTTTAGTACTGCAAAAACTCTCCTGATCAGATTGTTGCAACAGCCCATACTCATATGCTCTATGAAGATTGTACAACTTCAAGTTGAGATATCCTACATTTGTTTTAACTCAAAATGTTCCAAAACCTGGATTAGCTTTTGTTCTGTACCATCCTGGGGGAGCTCCGAGAAAAACCATTCAGCCTCAAGGACACATCCTGAAGCTCTCTGGTGTTTTGGTGGAGCACATTCACTACTACACCCCTTCAGATGGTGTGTAACACACTTACCCCACATCATTCCCATATACCTCCCTCCTAGGGAGATTCATTCCCAGAGTTCATGGAAGGAGACGTTCCTAAACTCCCTTAGATTGCAACAGACCATTATACAGGATGCCAAAAGGGGAAAGGAGTTCCTTATGCACTTTTCCCCAACCCCAAATTCCTATACAAGGAGCAGTCTGGTCCATAATATGAAGGCCTTTATACCAAAACATTAGTTGGAACAGCCACACAACGTTGATCTCTGCTTATTGAGGCCTCAGCCCCAATTTCAGCCTCCTTACCTGAAAGTGAAGTCTAAGAGCATGTACATTTTACAACAGAATTGCACACCTATATTCCTTACTTTCTGATGCTAACATGCAAGAGTTTGCGTTCCCAGTGTAAACTAGAATATAAAGCTTTTCAGTCCTTAAGTTAAAAATCAGTATAGATTCTGGATATACAAAGACCAGGTTCTCTATTATGTGTGAAAGGCAGTTTCCTGGACAACCTTTTTTGAACAAAGTATCTTAGAACCTCACTGTATTAAAAATGCAAGTTTGTGTTGTGGTGGGATTTGCAACTTGTCTGGAAAGACATGATTAATGTAAACTTTGGGAAGTGTTACGAGTTTCAAAGGACTCTTTAAAACAATGGGCTAAGACAAGACCGAGCTTTTAATGGAGTAGGTTTCCTAGGAATTATTTGGGAAGAGGGGAATGCAAATATCCACCTCCAGACCTGATCTTCTGAAGCTTTGACCTGGGATGGGGATCTTTGTCTACAAATTACCTGTTCCCAGAATCAATACCCAAATGGCATAAAAGAGCAACTCGATTCATAGTGTGCAGGTTCTGCACCATGGCAGTTATCAACTTGTAACCACAGAAAAACCCCTTGGTGGGGTTTGAAGGGCTGTTCTTTGGCCAGAGCCCTGCTTGGAGTTGGGGTGATCTCTGATAAGTGTATTTGCATGCAAGTTTGCTATTTTATATGTTCTCTCACTATTCTTTCCCCTTAATAAATGTGCTTGCTTAGAAAGAGCTGTGTGCTAACTTAATTGTGGTCAGTTACATTGCTTACCATCAGAGGAGCAAAAGTAAAGCAGGCCTGTTTAGGCAGTCTGACTGCTGGTGAATTTCCAGCGTAAGCAGAGAGCTGTGCAGCCTGGAAATATTTGGGGGTCAGGAGGGAGAGAGATGTATGTTTCTATCCAAGAGGTAATGGCAGAGAGTCAGAAAGAGTGGCCTTTTTTGGACCACATAGGAGAAATACAGGTGCAATTGCCTTGAACTGAAACAGCATGATCCAGCCCATTTGTGCTGTTCAGAGCATACAAGTGGACCAGAGAGCAGTTGTCTTCCCAACTGGGGATTTGCTGGCATGAAGCTGCTATAGTTGGCTATACCCCTGCATTTCATAGCATTAATTTACTTGGTTGTCAAATGACTACATTTGGATTTTCAAAAAGTAGCTTAAGAGGTTAGTTGCCCAGCTGCCATTGAATTTTAAGGGAAGGGATTTGAGCACCACATTTAGGTTCCTTCAAAAGTCCCAGCTTAAGTCTCTCATAAAACAACTGTTTCCAGAGGCAGCTAGTTAGATTTACCTTTAAGTTTTCAACCTTTTCTTCAAATGACTTGAAAGTAGAAGAATTTCTAGGGGGGGGAAAAAAAAGCCAGTGGTTAGTTTCTTAGAGTGAGAACATGAGCATAGTAATACTAGGTTAGTTTTGAGACAATGCATCCATGTTTCCCTGTCCTATGTCAACATGTTTTTGAGAGCCCTCAGATTAATGTATCTTTTGGATAGTAGTTTTTGTACACTTCGCAAACAGTTACTTTAGACCTAAATTGTACAGTTGAAGAGCTTCAAATACAACCCATGTCTAGAACTTTCAACTGCAAGCCAAGAAGCTCATTTTATTACTACCTTTGAGGCAGTCACTCTTTACACTGCTTAATAGCAGGGGGGGAAAAAGAAAAAATAAGTTCAGTGAAGTTACTCATTGCCTGTAACTCAGTGACAGTACCCTTTACAAAGGTAAGGGGGTAAGGTACTGTAGAATGCCAGATTTAACTTGTCATTAGTGACTTTTCAATGACTCTTCAAACAGGTTGACAGCTGTTGTCTTAGAAAAGTTGCTAGCTCAGTAAGACAATTTAGTCACATCCAGTCACTCTAGAGGCTAGTGAGTGATTGTTAAAGACAACTCATTATAATACGTGTGTCTCAAAGTTAAAGAAAGGTTATTTACCCTGTCCCTCTGGAGACAGCCACTATCAACAGTAATAAGTATTCTCCTCCCCATCTCTCACAGGTAGAGATCATTAAACTATGAAAAGGTAAAATGCAATACCCTAAGATAAAAACAGTGTTTAGTCATAGCAGCCTAGACAAGGGGTGAAATTTTGTCCCCACTGAAGTAAATGGCAAACATGGACTTCAGTAGGGTCAGTAAGTCACCCAAGAACTCTATATCAATTGCCACCAACTTGCAGTGTGACCTTGTGCCTTAATCTGTGTCACCAGATGGAGAAATGCTTACTTCTGATGCAGCCAGCCTTCGTGTTTGTAATGTACTCTGAACCTTATTTAGAGGGTGCAAAATATTAGGAGTTTTAGGTTTGGAGCAAGGCCTTTACTTCAATTTTCCCTTGCTCAGTGTCCATTTAAGATGCCCCACATTTATCTTTGTTACTCTGAATATGCATTTATACCGTAGGCATGTGCACCACTCCTTGTTTGGGAAATTGACACTAAGCTATATGAAGTTGTTTCTACATGCTTTTTGATCAAAGCAGGATTTTGGGAGGAGGGAGGCAAGGTAAGCAATTAAAGTCAGCAAGAGAAAAAAAAACTGAGGTCAGAGGCCAAACTGCTTACTTTCCTATGAGTTAATAAGAAAGTAAGTCTCTTCATTTTAGAAGAGCTGTAGACAGTTCTGAATTTGAAATCATTTAGTAGCATAATATTTCTAAGAAAATAAAGACTATTCAGCTTCTCACCATAAGCGAATATCATGTCTAGGATGTGTAATTGCCAATAAAACAAGTTCAAAGAAATAATGAACTTTCTGCAAGAACAGTCAGTACATGCTTTATCCTAAGTCAGTACAGCAAATTGTTCTAAAAACCAAGATGTTTCCATGTATTTAATTCTACACATGTGGGTGGGATGGGGGAAGGAAAGAGGATCAGTTCAACTAGTAAGAGACAATACACATCCAATAGCTGAATTACATACTAAAACATACATTACCTCATAACAGGCATGCTAATTGAATGTTGTATGGAGCGTATACTAAGTGTCAGCATTAAGAAAAGGAGAGAGAGTGAAGTTAGTTATGATCCATTATGAAAAGCAATTTGCTTAGAAACCCTTTGCATCAGGTTCCATGGAAAGAATCTTTCTCCCCATAATTGAAGATGTCTGAGACTACAACAGTTTTCCCAAGCGCAGTTTCAAATAAACTGGAGTCATGCACACATTCATAAAGAATATGCAAGAGAGTGTAGTAATACTTTATTTAAAATATGCCAGTTAAAATGTACATTCTGCATAGTTGCAACATAATTCCTTTGTCCTTTTTTAATCTACCCATTAAGTTTTCAGACAGAATTGCAAACTTAGCATGTTTCTCACTAGTAGTGTCAAGTGAATGCCAAAAGCTATCATTCACATTCCGTCCCCTTGAATGATGCTTACATTAAAGGGTAAATTCTCTCAGACTATCACTACATTAATTGCAATGGACTCCTGCATATGGAGTAGCAAACTACAAGTCAGTATGGATCCAGGAGCTGAATTTTAGTTCACTAGCACCATTTAGAAACAGCTCCGTTTCGTGGACTGTCAATCCATTACCTTTCACTAGGATTAGAGTCATAGTAACGCAACAGGCCTAGTTTCAACTACAGCTGGTTGGGAAGTTTCCAACAAAATAGTTGGACATATCACTCCACTGTCCCAGAAAAGCCAATAGCTTGGTGGTTAGGGCATTCACCTGGGATGTGTCAGACCCAGGGTCATGTCCCAGCTCTGATTTAGGTCTTTGTTTTGTCCCAGTGTGGAACAGGAAAACAGTTTCTTGCCCAGCTCTAACCTTAACTTTGTTTTTGAGGAACCACAAGTTTATTCTTCATACTTGTTAAATCTTATCCCTGCCAATACATCCAACTCATCACTAGGAGCGTTGTTAGTGATATAGTTTAAGTGAGTCATTAGGAGGGTCATAGGCCCAATAGCAACTAGATTGTTTCAGACAGTAATAACTTGAGCCAATTTAATCCTCCCTAAGAAAAGCTCAGCATTCTTATTTTTAATTCCCCATCCCCCCAAATATTTAGTCCTACTCTACTGTAGATGTGTAGTCTGTACTAGTTGAGTACCATACCAGCTTCTGTAGAGCAATTTTGCTGGACATGTGTCTTCTCCAACCATACCTGGATGCTTAATCTTAATCAAGAGTCAATACTTTCATATGAGAGTTCTCATCCCTGGCAGTAGCTAGTCATTCATCTCATTTTGATGGCAACTCAGTCTCCCCTAAATTAGTGCCTCAGTGGTAGAGCCACTTTGGTACTAATGAAAAGGTTCCAGAATAGGTTTAGAATGTAAGGATTTCTGGAGATGTTTAGACACCAAAGAGATAAAAAGCTTTAAGATAAGCCAGGACATGTTGCTAACTGAATATGTGACTGAAGATTGGGTAGTAGTGCCATATACTGCAAGTCAAACTCTGTCAGCTAGTTGTTTGCGGAGGTTGTCTGTGCTCCAATCATGTTTATTCATTGTTTCACCTTGTGTATATCTGCTGCCCACGTCCCTGTAGGAGACCCAGCTTCTAATAATTAGATTTTTAGAGTCTATTTTATCCTCTGCCTTCAGGATGAGTCACACTTCCGTATTGAGTCCCATTGTGTTATAAGAGGATTGTCACAGATCCCAACTTTGCTGGATGCCAAGTTTCTGCTCAATACGTTTTCTAATGCACTCAATAGTTACATTTTTCCAGCAGTGGTCAGCCACCTGTCTGACCCTGTAAGAGGCTCTCACCTCTAGAGATGGGAGTCCTATTTTTTTTTTTTTTTTTTTAAATAAAAAAAAAAAGTAGAAGGATGCCTACTCTTCCCTTGGTATTACAGTCTACAAACCCACCCACCCACACATACATACAGGAAAGTTAGTGTACAAAGACTGACCATCAAGGATAGCATTTGCATATTGTCTTTTGAGAGACATGTACTGTAAATACAAGCTTCAGTGGAAAAGTTTTCACGGACCTCAAAAACCATGCACAGTTCTGGAAATAGTTTAACTCCCATAGTACCAGAAATCATGTTTGTTATGTAGCTATGATGTGTTTTCAGTAACTCAGCCCAGACAACTGATTTAGAATGAAGCATATTTTTGAATTAGTAGCAGTTAAGTTACTTTGGTTTCCAAGTTTGACTTACAAGTCAAATGTTACACTTAACCAGGTCATAGCATACCCAGATACAGGATGTGATCCAAGAAGATATTCTCTGGGAGGACACCAGGAGGCTCTTCATCCTTTCCGCCACCACAACAAATTGCTGGTTCAACTTGTGGAACAGTTTTGTTCGTTCAACATAAAAAGCCAAAGCCAGCCGAATATCCAGGGAGTGAAGCCTCTGCTCACAGCTGTTGGCATGGGGCTTCAGGAAAAAGACTGGGAGAAATAGGTCTTTGTTGGTGTGAAAGTTGGAGACCAACCCTACATGGTGTTCCTCCCGAAGGTGAAGTTGCACTTTGTCCTTATAAAAAGGTAGTATATTGGGCGGGGTGGTCAGATGTGAGGGCCTTGAGCTCAGAGATCCTCCCGGCTGAAATTATGGCAACTAGGATTAGGCCACTTTATAAGACAGGTAAAAGTAAAATAAAGTAGTTGAGCATGTCGCTAATGATTCGAATGGAGCCCCCCCCCCCAGCAGCCGTGAGTGTACCAGGTTAATGTCCCAAGGTGGGAGTTGACTGCTGATTTGAGGGTATAGCCTGTCTATCCCTTTAAGAAACCACCACATCATAGGGTTAGCAAAAACTGAGAGGCCCAACTCTCCTGGGTGAAAAGCCGAGATGGCAGCCAGGTGAACCTTTATCGACGAGTGGGATAGGCCCTGCTGTTTCAACCTTAGTAGGTAGTTCAAGACCGAAGGAGGACCGAAGATTGCGATGGAAGGACAGCTCTGAACACAAAATAGAGAATCTTTTCCACTTGGCTAAGTAGGCCGCCCTGGTCGATGGTTTTCTGCTGCCAATAAGAACTTCCCTAATGGGGTTTGAGCATGCAAGCTTGAGTTGATTCAACCACACAGCTTCCAAGCAGGGAGATGGAGAGATTCGAGATTGCAGTGTTGGAGCTGGCCGTGATGTTGAGTAATGAGGTCTGGAACGAACAACAGGGCGATTGGAGTCTTCACCGAGAGTTCCAGCAACATGGTGGACCAATGCTGGCATGGTCAGGCTGGTGCAACCAGGATGACAGCGGCCCCGTCGCTCTGAATCTTGAGGAGGACCTTGTGAATAAGTGGGATTGGGCGGGGGAGAGGGGGGGAAGAAGAGGAGGAGAGAAGTGATAACATGTAGAAGAGCTGGTCCTTCCATGGGAGAAGAAAGGCACCTGCCAGTGAGCCCC